CGCGAAGAAGGACAGCCACCTCGCCATCCTTTGGGAGAGGTGAAGCGATTTAGTCGCCGTCCTCAAGGACGCGTGGTCTGTGTAGATCCCAAAGGGCCTAGAGCCCAGAAGGTGAACACGGAGCTTCACAAGGGCATATTTCATTGCCAGGAGCTCCTTGTCATGGACAGGGTAGTTCCGCTCGGCGGCTTTGAGCTGCCTGGACTGGAACGAGATGACTCGTTCGTGTCCAGCCGTGTCGGCCTGCAGCAATGCACACCCGATGGCGTAGTCGGAGGCATCGCAGACGACGCTAAACGGCTTCGTCTCGTCCGGCAGGGCCAGGCCAGGGGCCTCTTGGAGACTGGCCTTGATGCTGTCAAACGCATCCTGGTGCTCTTGCTCCCAGCGCCAGTCGACGTCCTTCTGTAGGAGACTCGACAAGGGCTTAGCGAAGCCCGCGTACCCTGCGCTGTACTTGTGAAGCTAGCTGGCCAAGCCCAACCACTTTCGAAGATCCTTCTGGGATCGGGGCGTCGGCCATGCTGCTATGGCCTTGACCTTGTCTGGGTCAGCCCGAACGCCCACGTTGCTTACGGAGCAACCGAGAGCTTTAATCTCTGGTGACGCGAAAACGCACTTGCCGATGTTGGCGTAGAGCGCGTTCGCTCGCATTACGTCCAACACTCGACGGGGGTGTCGTAAATGCACCTCCATGGCCGTCTTTCCTTCCTCAGCACGGCTATGGACGAATATGCCGTCGAAGTACGTCTGTACGAAAGTACGTAATGGGCGGAACAATTGCGTCACCAGGCGATTGAGCGTCGCAGGGGCGTTAGACAAGCTCCGCGGCATAACGAACCACTTCCAAAGCATGCCGCTTGGAGTGCTCACCGCGGTGAGCGGGATGTCGCTCTTTCGCATCAGGATCTGGTAGTAGCCGTCTACCAAATCCAGCGCACTGTACAGTACGCTTCCGGCCATGTTGTTTAACAACATATCCTTTCGTGGGATTAGTGTTTGGGCCGATACCGTTGCGTTGTTCAGCTTGTTATAAGCGTGAACCAGACGCCACTTTCCGTTCGGCTTCCGAACGCAGAAAGTCGGCGTCGAGTGCGGGGATTTCTACTCCCGCATCATGCCTGCCTTCGCTTTCGTGGCGAAGAAGGCATCAATGACCTCGCACTGTTCGCGCGGGAGAGGCCATTGCCTCGTGACACAATACTTTGTGCCGGGCACGAGATCAATCTCATGCCGTACGCCTCGATCCGGTGGGGGTTGGGTCGGTGGGTGTTTGTTCACCACGTCCGCATACTTCGTCACCAAAGGATACACCGGATCCTTGGGGTTCTTAAGGATATCAGAGCCCAAGCGCGTCTGGCGCTGCTTGTTTAGGTCTTCCAGGACGTTCTCGTCCAAGACAGAGGAGGAGTTAAGCTCTTTCCGAGTGGTCTCAGGTCTCATAAGTACCATCTCATCAATCTCTCCAGCCTTGAGGTTGGCCAGGAAATACTCAACCGTCATTTCCTCGAGGTGCAGTATCTCTGCAACCTCTGGCAACGGTTCCAAGTGGACACCAGATGCCTTGACGGGTAAACCGGTCTTGCCATCGAAGATGTGATAGCACTTTTCCACCGGCCTTGTCGGAGGATCCCGGGCCCTGGACTCCGATTCGCTTGAAGCGACGTCGATTTGAACGAAGTTCAGATTCAACTTGTGGCGGCGGCGGCGTCGTTGCCGACGGCGGCTGTGACGGGAAGCTTTGCTGCCCACGTCAAGGGATGTCGTCACAACGACATCCGAGGCACTCGTGGCCTCGTGTGGTACTGTGGTACCCACACAGGAAGCGTGTTCAACGCCGTCCACTTCAGTTAAGGTCTGGGCGACCGCGTGTGGCACTGTGTTACCCACACAGGAAGCGTGTTCAACGCCTTCCTCTTCAGTTAAGGTCTGGGCGACCGCGTGTGGCACTGTGTTACCCACACAGGAAGCGTATCCGACGTCTTCCTCTTCAGTTAAGGTCTGGGCTACCGTGAGTGGAACTCTGTTACCCACTCTGAACACGCTGCTTTCAGTGTTCATGACAGCTGCAGCTGTCTGCGGAACTAAGTCACCCGCCTGTGGACGTAAGCTACCCACTTGGTCAGCGCCTCTTCTGGGCGCGGCCACCATCAAAACATCCTCGGAGTCGTCATATACGTCGACGAATCCTAAGCATCTGCCGGATGCTTTGGTACCCTGACAGCCCTTGCGGGCGCCCCGGGTCCTGACCGAGGTGGGAATATGACTCACCAATGCTCTGTCGGACTGCGCAGGGCGGCTGGCACCGATTACCTTGCCTCGCCAGTCGATCCAGGGCTCGTGCTACTCAAGCCAGAGCATGCCCAGGATCATATCATATGGATCCATATCGAGCACAGTGAACTGTTCGAGGCTGTCAAAGTCTTCAAACCTGACGGCCAGATCCACTTAAACGTTGGGGACAGTGACGACCTTCCCGTCGGCCAGTCGTACTGACACCGTCCCGTTGCCCTTGCTTTCTCTCAAAGCATCGGACAACTTGTTGCTGTTGCGAGCAACCGTCTGGCGGCGTGCGGAATTCTTCGACGCCCCAGAATCGACTAAGATTCTGAAGGGGCGATCGTATTCCCGTACACATCCGTGTACGACGAGCAGCCTGCCGCTTCTCTTCGCCAATACGAGGGTGCAAAGACGATCAGGGGCTAAGTCCCCGTGGTAAGGCCACCCGCGCACCCATCACGAAGACTTAGTTCTTCCCAGTAGGGCGCCCCGCCCCTACTGGCTCCCGGTGTCCCCTTGTCCCCGGGATCCTGGCTTCTGCCAGCGACCCTTGAGGACGGGCTTGGGGAAGGATTGTCTGCGGCGTCTTTCCGCGGGACAGTCGCGCTTGAAGTGGCCCATCTATCCGCAGCCGAAGCAGCGGATGTCACGCTGTTCGGCGGACCCGAGTTCCATGGGAGCTGGTCCGTTGGGGCTTGTTCGCCCGGAAGCCGACAAGGAACGCCCAGGCCACACTGAGGCCGGCGTACGCGCCTGGCGATGGCTGTACTCTTCTTGAAGAGCCACTTGAATCGCCTCTTCAAGGGTGCTTGACTGCACCCGGAACAGCTGAGTGCGTGCGGGGCCCACTCGAAGGCCGTCCATGAACACAGTCATCTTGATGTGTTCGTTGAGTGGGTTTCCCACTAGGGGCGCCGTGAGCTCCCGTATCTCTTGCACATACTCGTGCAGTTCGCGCATTCCTTGTTTACACGCGAGGAAGCGCGAACGCTGGCGGTACTCGTAGTTCGCCGGGAGGAACGCGGCTCGGGGCTGTTCGCACATCTGAGCACAGGATGTGAAACATCCAGGGGATGTTGCTTCCCGTGTGTACACTCAACGCTTAGCACGACCGCTAAGGTTGGAGAGTGCAAAAGCAACACGAAGTTGCTCGGTCGAGATCAGAGCCGCGTCCATCGCGAGCTCTACTTCTCGGACCCCGAAATGAAGGTTCTCGCCTTCCTTCCCTTCATACGGCTAAACCTTCAGCCGTATTGCCTTCGGGTGAGGCGGATTTGCTTCCGCCGCCGGAGCCTGCAGGCTCTCCCGCACATGCGCGATGAGGCCCTGCTCGTACGCGTCGAATGCATTGACGCGCTCGAGCTGCTCAGTCGGTGTTGACACCACCAGGCCCTGCAGGGCCTCCATCCTGAAGATGCCTGCCATCTTCCGAACCGACTCGAACTGAGAGTCGTTCATATGGGAAAAATCGTTCCTATCCATGGCAACGAATTCCGGAGAGGTTCAGGTAGTGTACCCGCGGTGGCGTGGATTGACTACGAGTGCTACCAAGTGTGACGGGGTCACACAGCACCTTGCTCTAGAGGAAGTTATCTTCCGAGAGTATACAAACTCTCAGTGAACGGCAGTTCACAGGTCCCCTCTTTAATTAAAGAGAGCGAAGTGACCTAAATAAGGTAGATTGTAAACTGAGTACATTTATAGGTAGGTTAAGTTTGGGGTTTAATACAAACTATAAGTTACCTATAGAAATGCAATGTCGTTTGACCAATGGCTGGCTTTGAACGACCTTGGTACCTTGTACCAAATATCTCGGAGTATGACGTGTCATACTCCTGAAGTGTGAAGTGTCACACTTCGCGTAACCAGGGTACACTTAGGGCTACGTACCCCGTTACAACTTTATATGTAAATTCTAAGGAGATCGAGGTGACAACCATGTGAGCACACCGTGTTCGCAAAGCGTTGCTCTTAAAGGTCAGTCTAGAACCAGTGTCGAAATTTGTAAAAACACAAAGTAAAAAATTGGAGGTAAAGTGAGAGTCCATTTCAAGATACAGTGTACTTGAGCAATAACGACTTTCTGTTCGTATACATCTGACCAGATTGCTACCTGAGCGCGTGATGGGCAAACATGTCGGTTTATTATAAGCTATCAATACTATTAATCTAATAGCTCTGGGTTGGTTCGTAATACGTATTTACGAACTTCGACTACGGAACCGATCTGAAGATTAGAACAGATTTATGGACAAGAACCCCGCAGTAAAAAAATAAGTTCTGGAGAGTGCGACGGGTCCGTTCGCTGGTGAGTTCGGCTGGGAATATGGCGAATTCGTTTAGTTCACTTTTAATATTTTTTTATTTTATTTCGGTCAAAAATGATTGGTTGCACAGACTTTCACCACGGTCGTTACTGTTTGGTCGCGGGGGTTGCTAAAATAACTGGCAAACGGAGCTTTAGCAACGTTATCGACTTTATGACTCTCAAAGTGGTTACGACATGAATTAAGTTTTTTTTTATAACACTCATCTACGGGTTTTATAAAAAACGGTCTCTAATTACTGTTCATTGAATCTAAAATGTCTTTGCATGAATATTTGTTCTGCAAGGTGATTCCACAAAACTTTGAGGAGTTTGTGATGGCAATCAATGTTAATCCCACTTCATTTTCCAAATCTCGCTTCGTTACCCAGTGCTCAGTCTTCAAAGCCCCGAGATGAAGCTATACCTTCTTGTTCTGTTGGTTACTGCTGTCCTAGTTGGGATTGCTGACGCAAGCAAGAAATCCAAACTGGTGCTAGCTGGCACTCCTACTCCCAAATCAGGGAGCAACGTCAGCAAGACGTTTCTGAGAGCTGGTAATACAGACGATAAAGAGCATGAAGAGAGAGGAATGTTGGCGAAAATTCCGGGGATAAACAAGATATCACAAGTCTTTACATCCGCCAAAGCTCCAAGATGCCGACGAGTCTCTAGGGACGCCTTCAAATCGCTAGGGCTAAGCAAATTGGCCATCGGCAAGAGCGACCATATCGAGACGGATCTGGTGGCTAAACTCTTTTCGAGCCCCAACTTTAAAATTTGGGCTCAGCATGCTACTTACGTCAACAAACAGGACCCAGAGGGCGCGATGCTTGCCGCTCTGACGAACGTCTTTGGTGAGAAAGAAGTGGCGACGATGATTTTAGTGGGGAAGCTTAGAAGGAGATCAAAGGGTATTGCCCAGAAGCTGGAGACCGCGCAGTTCAACAAGTGGTACTTGAAGGGGCTTGCAGCAGACGACGTTTTCCGGCAGGTTCTGAAGGCGAATCGAGGCAAGATTCGTGGCTACGGGAGATTCATGGGTATTTGGGAGGACTACTCGAAATATATCATCAAGAGAGTGGTGAACTATTAGGAAACTTTAAGATCTCTTCAATGAAGCTTCATTTCTTCAATTGTTTTATTTAGAAGCAACCTGCAGGTTACGGCGATGAAGGAAGTTGACCGCCCAGGACGATAACCCCTTCGCCCTTCAATAGAACGCGACCCGGTCCAGCCGCCACGAGGTCCAATGTGATGTACCCACCTCAACAGGGGTGAATTGCTGTGCTTTGATCGTCGTCTTCTCGAGTAGTGGAGCCCAGTACGGCCCAAAGGCGCAATGCGCACTACCCGTGATCGGATCTTCGTTCACCCCACCACGAGGAGCAAAGAACCGGCTTTGGATGCCCATGTTCAACGCATTATCGGCGGGTGCTTCAGCAGTAACAGCGACAACGCGTACGTCATACTTGGCCAGTTGCACAAAGTCCGGCACGAGCGTCGTGGAACCTGCAGATGTCACACGAACGAGTAGATCTGTGGTCGCTCGCTTCACGTCAACGATGACATTTGGCTGAATGCCTAGCGCAGAGGCCAGCTCCTTTAACACCACACTAGGCCCTGCAGGCGTCGTGGGTTGTTCCGGGAAGTCTATCAGCACGAGCACCTTCTGTGACTCACTCTGCACCTCAAAACGACAGACCAACACCCCACTCAACGTGTGGAAGTGAAACGTTTGGCGCGAAGTCACGTGACCTGCATCGTGTAATGCAAAAGCAGTCGACAGAGTGGCATGTCCACACAGCTTCACCTCAGTGCCTGGTATTCCATAAGAAGTATTAGCGTTAGTACACAAAAGTATCCTAGTTTTCGCGATTGTGTGTCAATATTAATACCTGATTTAAAACCACCGCAGATTGTACTCGACGACGTCATTTGGAGTCTGGGCAGTACGTGCGTGAGCAGCATAAGCTGTATCACTCAAGCTGTTTTCCATCGCCACATGCTGCATCCATTCCGAAGCCCCTTCCTTGTGGTACTATATAATGCGGAAGTGAGCAACACCACAGCCGCCGGGCTGCCATGACAAGGCTCGCTGGAAACCGCAAGAAAAAAACAATACAAGGCACGCATCATTGCCATAAAATAAACTTTCTCTACTGTAGTTGGAAATGATCACGGGTAAGCAATATGACAGTTTCTTTGGTTAATATTCAGTGAAGAATTGTACAATATTATTGCTACGGGGTACGCAACCTCAAGTGTCCCCTAATTACATGAAGGGTGACACGTCACACTTCGGGATATCTGGTACATGGTACTAGGGTCGGCAGAGGCCAACCATTGGCTAACAACAAAGCTTTACTATAGGTGACTTATAGCTTGTACATTTAACTTTAGATTAGCCTACCTATAAATACATCCAGCTTACAGCTTACCATAAAATTGGTCACGTCGCTCCCTTAGACAAAAGGGACCTGTGAACTGCCGTTCACTGAGAGTTTGTATACTCTCGGAAGATAACTTCCTCTAGCGCAAGGTTCTGTGTGACCCCGTCACACTTGGTAGCACTCGTAGTCAATCCACGCCACCGCGGGTAGACTACCTGAACCTCTCCGAAGTTCGTTGCCATGGATAGGAACGACTTCTCCCATCTGAACGACTCACAGCTCGACTCGGTTTGGAAGATGGCTGGCATCTTCATGATGGAGGCCCTGCAGAGCCTGGTGGCATTAACACAAACCGAGCAGCTCGAGCGCGTCAATACATTTGACGCTTACGAGCAAGGGCTCATCGCACATGAGCAGGAAACCTGCAGGCTCCGGCGGCGGAACCAATTCCGCCTCAATCCGAAGCCAATACGGCTGAAGGTAAAGCCGTATGAAGGGAAGGCTTGAGAATTTGAGAGCCTTTACTTCTGGGATAGAGAAGTAGAGCTCGCGATGGACGCGGCGCTAATCTTAACCGAGCAACTCAGCGTTGCTTTAGCGCTCTCCAACCTTAGCGGTCGTGCTAAGCGTTGGGTGTACACGCGGGAGGCGACATCGCCTGGATGTTTCACATTCGGGGCTCAGCTGTGCGAACAGCTTCAAGCTGCGTTCCTCCCGGCGAGCTACGAGTACCGGCAGCGCTCACGCTCAAAAGTAAGCAATGAAGGCGTGAGCTGCACGAGCTCGTTCAAGAGATGCGGGAGCTATTGCGGCGTCCCTGGCGTCCCTAGTGGACAGACCACTTAGCGAACGTATCAAGGTGACTGTGTTCATGGACGGCCTTCGAGTGGGGCCGGCGCGCACTCAGTTGTTCCGGGTTCAGTCCAGCACCCTCGAAGAGGCGATTAAAGTGGTTCTCCAAGAAGGGTACAGTCATCGCCAGGCGCGCACGCCAGCCTTAGCATGACCAGAGAATTCGTTGTCGAATCCCGGTTGGGCCAGCCCCACCGTACCAGCTCCCATGGAGCTCGGGCTCGCCAAGCAGCGCGATATTCACTACTTCGGCTGCGGAAAGCTGGGCCACTTCAAGCGTAACTGTCCCGCGGAAAGCCACCGCAGGCGGACTTTCCCCAAGCCCGTCCTCAAGGGTGGCTGGTAGAAGCCAAGATCCCGGAAACAGAGGAACGCCGGAGATCAGTAGGGGCAGGGCGTCCTGCTGGAGAAGAACGAAGTCTTCATGAGAGGTGCCGAGGTTGCCCTTACCACGGGGACTTAGCCCCTGATAGTCTTTGCACCCCTCGATTGTGGAAGAAAAACGGTAGGCTGCTCGTCGTCAGAGAGTGGGTAGGGATACGCATCCCCCTTCAGAATCTTGGTCGATTCTGGGGCGTCGAAGAATTTCGCACGCCGGCAGACAGTTGCTCGTAATAGCAACAAGTTGTCCGATGCTTTGAAAGAAAGAAAGGGCACTAGGAGGCGCTGACCAAGTGGGCTACTTAGGCTCACAAGCGGGTCACATAGTTCTACAGACAGCTGCAACTGTCAATGATAGCGTGTTCAACGTGGGTAACCGAGTTCCACACACGGTCGCCCAGACCTTAACTGAAGAGGAAGATGCGGGATGCGTTTCCTGTGTGGGTAACATAGTACCCCACGAGGCCTCGAGTGACTCAAATGTCGGCACCACGACATCCCCAGACGTGGGTAACGAAGTTATACGTCATGGTCGCCGTCGATGCCGACGACGCCGCCGCCAAGAATCAGATCTGAACCTCGTTCAGGTCGACGTTGCTTCAGCGACTCAAAGTCCAGGATCGGGCTTCTCCAGCATGGCCGGTGGAAAAGTGTTATCACAGCTTCGATGGCGATACCGGTTTACCCGTCAAGGCATCTGGTGTCCATTTGGAGCGGCTGCAAGAGGTTGCAGAGCAACGGAACCTTGCAGAAATGACGGTCAAGTCGTTTGTGACCAGCTTCAAGGCCGAGTAGGTTGCCACGAAGGTGCTCATAAGACCTCAGACCACTCGGGAGGAGTTGAACGCATCCTCTGGCTTGGACGAGGACGTCCTGGAAGATCTGAACAAACGGCGTCAGACGCGCTTGGGTTCTGAGATCCTTAAGAGCCCCAAGGATCCGGTGTATCCTTTGGTGACGGCGTATGTGGACGTAGTGAGCAAACATACATCCACCCAGCTCCCACGAAATCGATGCATACGGCATGTGATCAATCTCGTGCCTGTAACAAAGTACTATGTCACGAGACAATAGCCTCTTCCAGGCGAACGGTGCGAGATCATCGATGCCGTCCTCGCTGCGAAAGCGAAGGCAGGCACGTTGCGAAAGTCAACGTCCCCGCACTCGACGCCAACCCTCTGCGTTCGGAAGCCGAACGGGATGTGGCGTCTATTTCACGCTTATAACAAGCTGAGCAACGCGACGATGCCGGCCCAGACACTAATCTCACGAAAGGATGTGTTGTTGAACAACATGACCGGGAGCGTACTGTACAGTGCGCTGGATTCGGTCGACGGATACTACCAAATCCTGATGCGAAAGAGTGACATCCCGCTCACCGCGGTAAGCACTCCAAGCGGCATGCTTTGGGAGTGGCTCGTCATGCCGCAGGGCTTGTCTAACGCCCCGGTGACGTTCAATCGCCTGGTGACGCAATTGTTCCGCCCTTTGCGTACCTTCGGACAGACGTACTTCGACGACATATTCGTGCCGAGGGAGGCAAGACGGCCATGGAGATGCATCTAGGACACCTCCGTCGAGTGTTGGACGTAATGCGAGCGAACAAGCTCTACGCCAACATCGACAAGTGCGTTTTCGCGTCACCAGAGATTAAAGTTCTCGGTTGCTTCGTAAGCAACGTGGGCGTTCGGGCTGACCCAGACAAGGTCAAGGCCATAGCAGCATGGCCGACGCCCCGATCCCAGAAGGATCTTCGAAAGTGGTTGGGCTTGGCCAACTAGCTTCACAAGTACAGCGCAGGGTACGCGAGCCTCGCTAAGCCCTTGTCGAGTCTCCTACAGAAGGACGTCGACTGGCGCTGGGAGCAAGAGCACCAGGATGCTTTTGACAGCATCAAGGCCAGTCTCCAAGAGGCCCCTGTCCTGGTCCCGCCTGACGAGACGCGGCCGTTCAGCGTCGTCTGCGATGCCTCCGACTATGCCATCGGTTGTGCATTGCTGCTGGCCGACACGGCTGGACACGAACGACATGTCGTTTCATCCCAGGAAGCTCAAAGTCACCGAATGGAACTACCCCGTCCACGACAAGAAGCTCGTGGCAATAAGGTACGCCCTTGTGAAGTTTCGGGTTCATCTTCTGGGCTCACGGCCCTTTGTGATCTACACTGACTACGCATTCTTGAGGACGGCGACGAATTCGCCTCATCTCTCCCAACGGATGGCGAGGTGGCTATCCTTTTTCGTGGAACGCAACTTCCGCGTTGAGTAGAAACCGGGCAAGATCAGCGTGCTTGCCGATGCCCTCTCTCGGCGTCCAGACTACGAGTTGGACCTCATCACACGGGTGACAACGGATCTATATGATCGAATACGCGTGGCGTATGGGGACGATGAGGCGGTCGCGTCTATCGTCCAGTTCCTAGCTGCAGGAACGAACTCGAAGTCCAACTGGCTTTCGTCGCGATAGCGCTCCCGACTCCACCGATATGAGCTGTAGGATGACCTCCTCTATTACCGGGTGGAGCCCAATGAACCCTCACGGGTAGTCGTACTCAACGACGAGAATCGGAAGTTCGGCATCCTCACGGAGGCGCACGATGCGCCCTCCAGCGGCCACTTGGGTCGCGTTAAGCCCTTCCGGTCGGTCTCTCAGGCCTACAGGTGGGCCCACATGTATAAGTGGGTGGCACGATACGTGAAGACATGTGAAACAGGTCAGTGGACCAAGCCCGCAGGGCACGATTCAGCTCCACTGCCCGTTCCGGCTGACTATTGGTAGTCGATGAGTCTTGTCTTCATCTTTGGGCTTCCCAGCGACGGACACGGCAACACCGGAATTTAGGTGTTCGTGTGTCGGCTGAGCAAGATGGTAAATCTTGCTCCAGTTTCCGTCACCGTTACGGCCGGACAAACCACAATGTTGTTCGTCGATGGCGTGTTCCGCTATCACGGTCTCCCGGAGACGATTGTCTCGGACCGAGACCCGCGGTTCACGGCTGTGTTTTGGAAAACGCTGTTTCTTTTACTGGGAACTCGTCTGCAGATGTCCACTGCGGACATCCACAGACAGATGCCCAGACAGACCGCGTCAATCGAGTGCTCGAGGACACTCTGCCCAGTGTGTGCGTGAAGCAACATAAACGTGGTCGACACAGCTTCCAGTTGTTGAGTTTGCTCTCAACAAGGCGGCGCACGCGTCCACGGGGCTCACGCCGTTCTTTATGAATGGGTTTCGCCACCCCAGAGTGCCTCTCACCCTTCGAGGAGACACTGCATCCTCTATTCTAAGTGGGGGAGGGTCTCGGGAAGCTCT